CATCCAGAACTTTCCAATGGTTTCCTGTTTTAGAACAAAACACCAAATCCTTCCAGGAGCCTGTGTGACCTGTGTGTCTCCTTTGTCACTTCTTTACTACTCTCCTCACTGCCTCCAAACTGTACCCCACCCCATACTAATTTCTACTACTCTGGAATCTTCTTCCTGCACTACCCATTCTCAGTGAGAACATGAGTATGTTGGCTGTTGTGAGGCATGCTCTCACCAGCATGTTGGTCCTTAGGACCTTTGCAATTTGTTGCCCCTCTGTTGTAAGGGCTCCTCCCCCAGCTCCTGATACAACATGGTAGCCCCCTCCCTCAGCAGCTGTCTATCCTCCCTCCCTGTGCTAATTTTCTCCTTAGTATTTATAATGACCTGATATAGCACATATTTTACTAATTAATCAGTTTATTTTCTGTCTCTGAGTATTAGAGTGGATGTTTTATTTTTTGTCTGCTTTCTTTCCTCTTGTATTCCCAGAACAGAAAACTCAGTGTGCATTTAATAAATTGACTAAATGAATAAAGGGGTGTATTATGGAGTCATTTTGGAGGATTAAGCAAACTAGCATATGGCAAGCATTTAGAACAAACAATGCTTAGCATGAAATTAATGGTTAATAATGTCATGTTTTATTATTATATTATACTAATGTAATAGTTATTTAATGAATGCTGCATTGAAATATTAGATACTATTTATTGGGTAGTAGAAAGAAGATAATCAAGCTACAGATGTTTTTAATACTTTAATTTACATTGGCTCCAGGAGGTAATCAGGGGAAATTATTTGTACCTTCTTTTTCTGTCATCTAGAAGATGCACTATAACCCACACTTTTCTGGGAAGGTGAGTAGTCCTCAAACCTTGCTGCACTTTGAAATTACCTGGAGATCTGTGAAACATTGATCTTAGTCCTCCCCCCAGCCTTGCCCATATATTCTGATATGGTGTACCCCAGGCATTAGGATTTTTATGCTCCACAGGTGATTCCAATATGCAGCAAAGTTAGGGAATTGCTGCTGTAAGCTTGTCATAGATCTGGCAGAAGCAGAAGGAGAGACTCCTGTAGTCCCTTTCTGTGCTTGGAAGTGAGAATTAAGCCTTCCTTTGTCCCATGGCACATGTGGCCATTAGCAAATTCCTTAGCTGCAAAGACCTTTACCAGTTTCTTGAGTGGATTATGGTGAAAACTCAGAACTCAAGGCCAGGATCCAAAAATGTGGATTCCCCTTCCTTTCTTCTTCACTCCCTACTTCTTTCTCTTTTTTCCTTCTTTCCTTTGTTCCATATAGGGATAAAAGAAGAGGATTGTTTTCAGATGTGCCACTAGAAGATATGCTCTGAGATGGTGCTTTCTTTCACATGAGACAAGAGAATCTCACATGTCCATCATGCTTAGGTGGCCCCACTCTCCTCCAGACGTAGCCACCCATAACTGTTTCAGGTCTGGGATGGCTCAATGTCATGAGGTCAATGTTCTGTCTAGTGAGGCCCAATGTAGGAGAATCAGAGGTCTTTCTTGTGTCCTGATCCCCAGTCCTGGCTTCTCTAACTCTTCCCTGGGTTTCAGTTCCTCCCTGCAGGGGGCCCTGTCTGAAGCTCCTGCCCTGGTCACTGAGACTCATTCTGTATTGGTTTTGCTTCCTTCCTCAGGGACTGAATTCTTCCCCCTGAACACCAGGCCTCTTCATGAGATCTTCTCCCACTTCCTTTCACCTGCCACAAGCATGGGCCCCACTTAGGAGCCATGTTCAATCTCTTGATCCAGACAAATACCTGCAATTTCATACTGAACAGCTTCTCTCCCTTTGACTCTAAAACTTCCACTCTGAGCCAAGACTTTTCTAGAATCATGATACGACATTGAGGATGGCACGCTACCAGGGACAGATTCATGGGCATTTGACCAGTGTAGTCACAAAGGACCTTGAGCTAGATTTAATGATTTTTTTGTGAGTTGGGGGGGGGGAATTACTAGGAATTGATCCCTGGGGCACTTTACCACTGAGCTATATCCCCAATCTTTTTTATTTTGATTTTTTTTTTAATGTTGAGACAGGGTCTTGCTAATTGGCCAAGGGTCTCACTAACATAGTGAGGTTGACCTCAAACTTGCAATCCTTCTGCTTCAGCCTCTGGAGTCTCTGAGATTACAGACTTGAGCCACCATGTTGGGCCTCTTGAAATTCTTAATCAGGAAATGAAAAGGGGGGGCAGTTTTTCATTTTGCACTATCCCTGCAAATTATGGAGCTGGCCTCGTGCAGACACTTAAAATCTGAAGACCTAGCGTGAATCAAACCTGACTTTCACCTGAGAAAAATTGACCTCAGTTCAGTTATTTTCTTCTCTTAGTATTTTCAGAGGGGTGGGTGGGGTTGAATAGTTCCATCATAGGAGAGTTTTTAAGGATGAATTAAGGTAACAAATGTGTGGTAGCACGCGGCACACAACCAGCTAGTCCTGTTTTATCTAGTGTTCTAGATCACAATCAGCTAATTGAAATGATACTTTCTCTCTGTTTAAAAGGGATTATAAACTTTTATTTTTCTTGACAGTGATATATACCCAAAGGACAGTTCCTAGAGGGCTTTCATTGATCTTACTTAACTCTTATTAATTACACAGAAGGACAACAGGATTCCTGTTTCCCCTGTCTTTCTTTATTACATTTGAACAATATGTTGTCCAGATGGCATATAGAATAGCATCATCCGTGGTATTTTAAAATGATCTTCTTTTACTTATTGAAGATTAGAGAGAAAAAAATTGAATTAAGCCCATGTCATTGAAATAATCTCAGCTTACATTACTCTAAGCAGATTTCTAGTGTTCAAATTAATAAATCTTCCCCCCAAAGAAGGCTTCCTTGGACAATGTTCATGATGAAGACTTCATTAGAAGTCTTGGCGGTTGGTCTTTGACCTGACACTCTGCCATATTAGCCATGACCCCAGAACAACAATAAGCTGTGATTTTGATCTCAGTTTTCTTATGGGAAAAATGCAGATAAAAATGCCTGCTCTTCTCCCTTGTTCTCAAGGTTATTTCATGAATCAAAAGCATTTTGAAAATTTTTGAATACTATACAAATTTCAATTGTGGATTATTGATAAGACTTCAGAAATTGAGATGTTAATGAAATGACTCATCTAAATCACTCAAAAATCTTCCCAGAGAGTAAACTCCAAAAGCTAAATTTGCAACTCCTTTCAATGGGGGAAAGTATTTGGCACTGGATGACTTGTCACCACCACAATAATCTACATTACTTCAATTTCACTGAGGCCAGAGCCATACATGTTATCTACTAAATGTCCATAGTCCTGTGAGGCAGTTTCTCAGATCTGCTATAACTTGATAATTTTCCACAGAGAAATATGTTTCTCTGTATATATTAATTCAATTATTTATTGAGAATCTACTATGTACCAGGTCTTCTAGGTACCTGAGAGAACCCAGTGAATAAAACTAAGTTCCTTGGCCTGAGATTGTGGCTCAATGTTAGAGCACTTGCCTAACATGTGTGAGGCCCTGGGTTCCATTTTCAGCACTGTGTATAAATAAATAAAATAAAGGTCTTAAAAAATGTTAAAAAAAAATAAGGTCCTGGCCCTCCTGGGATTTCCATTCTAGTGTAGAGAGCAAAACAATAAAAATAAACATAAAAATAAAAATGTTTGGGCTGGGATTGTGGCTAAGTGGTAGTGTGCTTCACCTAGCATGTGCGAGGCCCTGGGTTTCATCCTCAGCACCACATAAAAATAAACAAATAAAATAAAGGTATAATATATAAATAAATATGTTCCACAGCACATTCACAGATAATTAGTGCTGTGGGGGAAAACTAGAAGAGGGTAAATGGGATTGGGGGAGCAGGGTGGCCATTAAAAAATATTATACAGCAGAGTCCTCTGTAAGAAGGTGCTATGTATTGTAAGCAAAGGATTGAAAGAATTGAGGATGAGCCATACAGACATCTGCAGAACAAGCATTCCAGGTTGGGGGGAACAGTCCTTGTGAAGGCCTAAAGCAGAAATGAGCTAAGGGTTTTCAAGGGACAACAGGGAGTCCTGAAAGAGACATGAGTATGGGTCTCTCTGGATCTTTTACACTTTGTACCAGAATAGGTTTTTTTTTTTTTTATTGTTGGTTGTTCAAAACATTACATAGTTCTTGATATATCATATTTCACATTTTGATTCAAGTGGGTTATGAACTCCCATTTTACCCCATATACAGCTTGCAGAATCACATCAGTTACACTTCCATTGATTTACATATTGATATACTCATGTCTGTTGTATTCTGCTGCCTTTCCTATCCTCTACTATCCCCCCTCCCCTCCCCTCCCCTCTTCTCTCTCTACCCCCACTACTGTAATTCATTCCTCCCCCTTGTATTATTTTTCCCTTTCCCCTCACTTCCTCTTGTATGTAATTTTGTTTTTAAAACTAGAAAGCATGTGATTGTTCTGCTGCCCTTCCTATTCCCTCTTCCCCTCGCCTCCCCTCCCATCACCTCTCTCTACGCAATCTAATGTGACACATTACTCTCTTTTTTTTTCTTTTTTTCCTTCCCCCTCACATCATCGTACTTGTATTTTGTATATCTATGAGGGTCTCCTTATATCTTCCGTGCAATTCCCCTTCTCCCTCCCATTTCCCTCCCACTTCTCTTCCCTATTTAGTGGTAATCTTCTTCTCATGCTCTTCCTCCCTACCCTATTTTGAGTCACAGAATAAAATAGACACTAGTATTGTTGTATGTATATACATGGCCATAAAATCAATGTGATCCTGCAACCTGTACACTTGGGAAAATGAGAAATTTTACCCATTTGATTCAAATGTATGATATGTCAAGATCATTGTATTGTCATGAGCAACTAATAAAAAATAAATAAAATACAAAAAAAGAAAGCATGTGATTGCAAGATCAATGCCAAATATATACATTGATGCCTCCTTTCTCTTGTATGTTCTTTTTTCTACAGTCACATGACACAGGCAATTCCATTTGATGACCCTCGGTTAGAAAGCTGCCAAATCATCCCTCCAGCTCCCCGGAAGGTGGAGATGAGGAGAGACCCTGTACTGGGTTTTGGTTTTGTGGCAGGGAGTGAAAAACCAGTGGTCGTTCGCTCAGTAACACCAGGTAAGGATGCAACCCCACTCCTTCTCCTAGAACTATCTGCCACACGTTGCTAGGATGACTGCTGTTCAAGTTTCCTGTGTCCAGGCTGTGAATGCTAGATGGGTTTTCCCAATACCTGCAGAGTATCAAAAGGTCAAAAAATGTCTCTCAAACTAAGTTTTAAACTATCAAATTATTTGATTCAGGAAAAATACTGATCCATCATTTGTAACTATGGAAATGACTCATTTCTTAACATGTAAATGTAAACAATAAGAAGTAGGCATCGTACTGATGAATTCCCTAATGAAAAAAAAAGCAGAAAGTAGTGTTTGAGTTGTAGTATACTAAGTTTTTGGAGTAGTTCAATTACTTTACAAAAATGTACTCCTCTCCCTTCTCACTGGAGGCAGAATATATTCTATCCCATTGCTGTTGGGCTGGACCTAGTGACTGACTTTGGCCAATGACATTAAGAAGGTGACATAAGCAAAGGCTTGAGATTTGCTCATTCAGTGTAAGTTATTTCTTGGGCATCTTCTATGGCCATTAGAAGAGTCTTCCTCAGGTGGCATCTATCCCTTCAGCTTGATCCCCAAAATGAACACTGAGGCTGGCACCCAACAAGCCTGCAGCCTGGAGCTAAGTATACCCTGATCTTCAGTTTGAAGCAGAACTTTTCAGCTGACCCTGGCCTAAATCAGCCAGTCTGTGGGTATGCTAAAGTCCCACAAGCATGAGAAGAAATGATTATTGGACACCTACTGAGTTTTGGAGTGCTTTGTTATACAGAAGATGCTGACTAATACAAATCTCTTAAATTCTATATGATAATTATTAGATTTATCTCGATCATTCATATTAGAGTATACAGATGTTCCACTAACAACCCAGTTGAATACAACAGACTGTGATGTAATTGCCTAAAGTGGACTGACTTTGCCTCTCTAGGAACAATATGCTTTTATGTTTTACTTATTATATATATTTATGTACTTATTGTAATGGACTTAAATTGGGTTTTATTTTCAGACAAAAGAAAATTCTCTGTCATTGTTCTCCAGAATTTCGCAAATAAGTAACAGAATTCAATAGTAAAGTACACTAATATGTACAGATTCTGATATTAAATTGCCCAAGTTTGACTCTGGCCTCTACCCCTTATTAGACTTTTTATCTTCCATTTTATATTCCCTGCTTTTCAGTTTGATGTAACTTCTCTATATCATCTGTACTATGGGGATCATAGTAGTATGTAACTTACAGGGCTATAGAGAGGATGCAATAAGTTAGAAGAGTGCTAAGGACATACTTATTCCATAACTGTTTATTATTATTATTATTATTATTATTGTCATCATCATCATCATCATCATTATTATTACTGACCTCTCAAATATTTGGCCAGTTGAGTCTGTCAATTATGGGAAACTCAAGTCAACTAGCGAGTTGGTATAGATTTTAGAATTTGATTAAATTTTAACTTTTTAATATTTTGACATAATATGCCCCAGGCATGCACCACAAATACAATCAACCCCTTCTGACTTGTGCTGTTAAGTATTGCTTAACATTTGAGCTTGATAAACTGAGAATTTTATTCTCAAAGTAGATTTATTGCTTTTTATTATAATAAAATAATATATGGGCTTTGTAAAAAAAAAGACATAAACAATGTAAATAGTATATAAGTGAGAGTAAAAAAATGTCAATTCCTGCTACCAAGACATAACTGCTATTCAAATAGACATGGAGAATATGTATAATAGGCATAATTCTGTAAACGCAAAAACACAAATATATTATCCATTATATATTTAACGTGTGTGTATGTATATGTGCACACATAGTTTTTTCTAAGAGGGCTCGTATTGGGCATGCAATTTTATACTATTGAGATAGTTTAACATTGTTGGTGATGAGATTCTCTGAAGTATGAGTCCTCCCAGGAGCTGTGGAGATTATAGTTTTGTTTTTCACTTTTTTGTATTGTCTCACTTTTCCCTCAATCTCTTCTCTCCTTTTCCCTCATCTCTCCTTACCTTCACTAATGTCAACTATTAGACAGTTGTGAAAAGACTAGAAAAAAGTGAAAACTGAGGTCAAAGAATACTACTTCCAGTCATTTGTTCGAGTGAAAATGTTGGTCAAATAAGCTCTGCCTATCACAAAAATGGCTCTACTGCAGTCCCAAGTGTTTTCTGTGCAGTGACCAGAATTTCTATACCTGAAAGCCTAGTCTTCAGAGTAAAAGGGATGAGACAATTATCTGAAGAGTGCCACTGTTTTATATATTGGAAAGGATTGTGTGTTATTTCACCAGAATTCTTGATTCAAGTTGCTTGATTAAATAAGAATATTTCCATTGGATCAATATGTATGGGTCAAATGTAGGATTATGTCCTGTTGATGAATTTTTGAAAGATGGATATTAATTATTCTTATGAGAAATTGAAGGATAGATATTAATTATTCTTATGAGATTAATTAATATAAGAATAAGAATGTTCTCATAATTACATCCTTTTGACCACCAGTTATTTTGAAAACTTTTCTGTAATTTATCTGCATTTGATTTCTACCCATTGATTTTACTGAATTAGTGTGACTGTTTGAACACAGTCCAATAGTTACAATAAGTTTGTCAAGTGATTTCTCTAGATTCCATATGTTTTCAAATACTGGAACTCAATTCCCAGATCTGTGAAATGAATAATTTCTATCACTGATATGGGTACATGTTAAGGTTTCTCTACTTTCTTACTCCCCAGAAAGACAAATTTATAGTACAGTTTGAGTAACACATATGCCAAGTGCCTGTATGGGTAGAGAACAACTGAATGGCTTCAGTTCTTTGTTCTGGGCATGAAGTGTTCATTTCAATTACTGAACAAAGTAATGGTGATATTATTTGAAAGCTAACATTTCAGCTCCCTGTCACCAAGTGCCAGACTTTTTGTAAAGAGAATTCAAATAATAGTGCCACATAGTACTATATCAATATTTGGAAAGTAATTGCTTCTGTCTAGACACGTGAGAATAATCCAAATAATTGTTCTGGGTTTTTATTTAAATACAGATTGTGCTTCACACAGATGTGGCTTTTAATTTGCCTGTTAAGAGACATGGCAGTTACCAGGTTTTGAATTGTGAGGACAAGTTCAAAAGTGACATTGACCACTTTGACAGAATTCTACAGATACAAACTGAGATCCAGTCCTACCTTCATGCCATTTTTTTCCACATATGTGAAACTCGGTTGTCTCACTGTATGGAAGAAATCATAATATTCAGTGAGGGTATCAGGCAAAACAGCTCATTGCCAGCTACACAGCAAATCAACCCACATTAATTTCCTACTCCCTTATTGGAAACCTAACTGAAAGAAAAACAGCCTCTGACTTCCAGAAGCTCTCAGAGGCCCTTATAGCTGGGCCTGGCTTATGCTGTTGAACATGAACAGTGTCACCAAATATCACCAGACAGGGCCATTCTGGCTCTGATGAACCAAGATAAAAACAAGACTCCTTGTACTGATATGTGAGTACAGACACAAACATCCAAGCACAGTCCAAACCACAAGCATGACCAACTATGACCCTCTGTCAGCTGATATGAATGACTGTTGTTAATCAACCATAACCTAGTTCTGCTTCCTTCATCTTACCTGGCAGGCAATTATTAAGATGTTCATGACAGAATCACTTCTGCTTTCCATTAGCTGCTGATCCAAGGACAACACCCCACTTCCTTGAACCTGCCCCAACAGCACCTAACACAAGGTCAAATCTTCTAATAAGTCCTTTCTAACACCCTATGATTGAGATGCCTCGTGATTTTCCACAAAGTGCTATCTCCCTACTCAAAATGAGCAAATAAATACAATGTTGTTTAAATCCAGTTGTGCCCAGGTTGTTGCAGCTTTGGCTGCAGGCAACACAGCTGTTTAGCTACCTGTTGGGAAACTACCTTCTTCTAAAAACCTTGATATTCATAAGCCTTTTGACCAGCAGCATTAATAGCTGCTGAGAACCTGGGAGAAATGCATGATCTCATCCTGCACCCTTGTACGGTAAGATGATCCACAAGTCATTCATAAGCATATTAAAGTGTGTGAAGTGCTGGGAACCTAAGTCTCCATCTGGCCCATGAAGTTTTTAGAAAATGTGGATGCATGAGTCTCACTGCAAAAGTTTCTGATTTAATTGGTCAGGATGTAGCTTATGATCTCAGACTTATCCAAAGAACACCCAGGTGTGATTGGGTTTTGTCTTGGCTGATGTCACCGCCTGCTCACAGTGAATCATAATGGATAGAGGGGATTTTGGATGGCTTGCCAATGTTCTTCTCAACTGGACTTCACTCTTGTGTGTTTTCAGGTGGCCCCTCAGAAGGCAAACTGATCCCAGGAGATCAGATTGTAATGATTAATGATGAGCCAGTAAGTGCTGCACCCAGGGAGCGGGTCATCGACCTGGTCAGGTAGGTGACTCATTTACTTCATCCTGTCATGAAGGCTGCTACACAGCTCTGAGACCTCATCTGGAAATGCAAGAGATTCCTATGGACTTATTTATATCAGAAACACCAGATTACATATGCACTTTATTAAAAATGCTGGTGATACTAATATAAAAACACATGCTCCATTAGCACAGAATGCTTAATTGTCCACTCTCTTAACATTGAGGATCTGCATGTTTCTGCTCAAATTTTTATTACTTCTATTTCGATTTCTACCTCCAAAGGTTCCATATTTTTCTTCCAGAATTACTAACACATTGATTTTTTTTCATAATCAGGGAGATCAAAATGCAATGCCTAAATTCAGCATTAAATGATGATGAGTAATTTTATATACATAATTCCATGGATACACAAACATACACATACAGTTCACTGATTTTTCATACTTGACTGATTCATTACTGAATTTTGAGATTATCAGCTGAGGCAAAAGAATAATTAGGATAATTAGGTCAAAGCTATGAAAGGTAAAGAAATGTGTTTGGTTTATTAGTTCAGTTTTATTGTGGATATAAGTAGTTTGTTATGTGGTTTTCTTAATTGGGCACCAAAAATGTGTTTTGAGTGATTTAAAAATATTAGCAAAAAATTCCTTTAAAACCTCACTGGAGTTGCACTTTGTCAGTGAATTTAGAGCAAGAGAAGTCTATAAATTTTCCAATGAAGATGGTTCTATCATATGAACAGATCTACTTATGCTACGGGGGTGTTGAGGTATAAGAAGGTGTGGCATTTGTCTTTTATAAACTGATCTTTTCAAGCAAGATTAGAGTGGAAGCTAAAGCTATCAGAACACTTGAAATTGAATATTTATGATCTAATATGTATGCTCACTCATAGCAAAAAGTACCTCTGTACTTTGGGAAAAACGTTAAGTGGAGTATTTTTAGGGTCTTCTGCAGAAATTTTCTTGCCCAAACTCAGGATAGTTTCTACTTCACAAAGTAGTCATGGATGATCAAGCATACTTGGAAGAATTTAAAGAAGAGTAAGAAGATGGGGAAATAGAAAGTGAGAGGACTCATTTTTAGGATGACCAACCATCCCAGTTTTAGCAATGGAAAAGCCCACATCCTGGAAAAACCCCTTTAGCCCTAAAATTGTTGGTACCTACCATGGTCTGAATGTTAGTATCCCCTCTTCCCAATTCAAATTTTGCAATCTAATACCTATTACCGATTTAAATCTTTGAGGAAGTGATTAACTCAAGAGAGTGGAGTCCTCAGGTATGGGATTAGCACCTTTATGAAAGAGGTGGTAGTTGCCTTACCTCTTCGGCCACTAAGAACACAGCAAGAAAGTGCTATCTATGAGGCATGGGGCCTTCACCCACTCTGAATGTGCTGGAGACTTGATCTGGGACTTCCCAGCTTCCTGAAATATGAGAAACAAATTTATATTATTTATAAGTTACCCAGTCTAGGGTACTTTTTATAAGCAACCCAAAGGGAGTAAGCTAGTCACTCTAGTCAGGACCTGATATAATGGAACCTTCTCAGTTGGCTTGAAAGTTTGTGCCTGTACTCAAAGGGTATCCAGATCTCCAAAGGATGCTATCATGCAGGAAAAAGCACTGGGACTTAAGTTATATTCACCTTGTATCAGGAATAAGACTTGGGAATCATTCCAATTTCTGAGGACTGGAAATACAAGAACAGGAAAAGATTTTGGATTTGAGAGCCTTTGGGAAGGAGTTGTAGTGTTACTATTTAGGGTCACTTCTATCTTGAGAGGTATGTGGGTGTCAGCAGGGACATTCTTCATCCAGGCAGGCTCTGAGCCTTTTGTTGGCTTGCATCCTGAAGTGCCATGTTTGGGCCTAATGGCAGAAGTCACATTTTGTTTTTCCCTAGGCACACACCTCTGTGATCAGTCCTATTGATTTCTGTGCTAGGAGAATGATATAAGAAATAATATATCTGAGTTTGGGTTTGCTGTGACTGAATTGCCTGCTGCAGGACAGGATGGAGAAAAGCTATCTAAAAGTGTGATCATTTCCTAGCAATCTTACCTGGGGCACTTAGAAAGTTGTTTTCTTTTTTTTTTCTTCTTCTTCTTCTTCAAGAATTTTTCTTTTCCTTCTGGTTTAACACATTGTGAAAGAAAATGTCATCTCAGAAAACAAAGCTTTCCCTATAGGACTTTATATGTAATGGAATAAATGAACCAATTAAAAGAGGGCATCACAAGTAGCTCAAGTCCAAATCCAGCCTGCCACAAGTTTTTTTCAAAGCCTGTGAGCCAAGAACAGCTTTTACCATTTTTAAAAGTAAGAAAAAATATAAGAATGATATGTGACACACAAATCATTTGAAGTTCAAGTTTCAGAATTCATAAATATAGTTTCACCCATTCAATTACATATCATCTAAGGATGCTTTCTCCCTATAATAGCAGAGTTGAGAAGAGATTCTGTGCCCCTACAAAATATAAAATACTATCAGGACCTCTAGAAAAAAAAATGCCAACACTTAGAGAATAATCTAATTATATTGTATTTTCTTTGGTTAAGCCTAATGAAGACCAAAACCCCAAATAATATATAGAGAGAATTTCTCTCATAATGAAGTTTTGATTATTGCACAATTTCCAAATGTTTGATAAAGTGATGGTGGTGTTTTAAATGGACTGAAATTGAGAACATGCATGCTTTCCACATTCTTTTATAGCCATGCCCTGAAAGTTCTGTTTGAGAAGTGTTCTTCTAATAACAAAGACATATGGAGACCCTTGTGATATTATATAGGATATTAATAGCAAAAAAAGAAGAGTTAGTAGGTGAGGGAACCCTGGTGAGGAAACACACAAACGTGGCTTTTTTCCTCAGTAGTAGCTTTGGAAGCATAGCCTCTTGTTCCTATCTCCTTTCTTTTCTTTGTTCTCCCTGATGAAAAGTCAGGTCACTGGGGAGAATTGTAAGAAAATGACCCGACCAGAACTAGAGAGAATGGAATAAACTCAGGGCAGCTGAGGCTTACAATTTCCTATGCCAACAGAAACAAAAGCCAAGGAATGACAGAAAGAAACAAGAATAACTTCTTAACTCATACAAAGTCTTTAACTGGTAGACGCATGAGATATATTGATCCAATGAATATTTTTATGTTTTTATTCTTTCTCCAAGTTTGAGGGCTTTTTCCCTTGTGCTTTGTCTTGATATTCCAAGGTGCAAAGAACAAGAAAATATGCTTTTTATCATTCATGAAGCCAAAAAATCCCTACCCATTTGTTCACCTTTGTGGTTTAGATATGAGGTACCCCCCAAAAGCTCCCGTGTTAACATGCAAGACTGTTAATGATTGAAATGTGAGAGCTGTAACAATCAGTCCATGTTAGTTTGAAAGGACCACTGGGTTGTAACTGTAGGCAGGTGGGGCATGGCTGGAAGAGGTGGGAAACTTAGAGCATGCCCTAGAATGGTTTATCTTCCCTATGTCCCCTTCTCCTTCTCTATGCTCCATGGCTACTTAGAGAAGAGTAGCTTTCTTTCTCCATGCCCTTCCAACATGATGCTGTGTATCAACTCAGAGTCAACCAACCATGAACTGAACTTCTGAGACCATTTGCTCAAGATAAACTTTTCCTTCTCTCAATGATTCTTGCCAGGTATTTTTGTCACAGCAACCCAAAACTGACTAAAACACCACCTTCCTCATCTCAAGACACCAGTAAAAACAAATAGTTGACAAGGCTCAAAGGATTCCATGATGACCAAGAGGCAATCTTCTTCAAGGGACCTAAATTCACTTTTGCTATCTATTATCACACTATTCCACACATCCCACCTATACTATGAATTTGCCAGTTGAACCATAATCTAGGACAGGAATCTGAAAGCCATCCTCAGTTTTCCTTTCCTTCATTTTCTATATCTAACAGTCCGCCCTTCTGTACCTCCACCTGTGCACTTATTGAGAAATTTCAACTCAGTGAAAGACAGAAATTTGAAATGAGTCTATTTTTCTCCTCCATTGCCTTTAGTCAAGAACTATTATATTCTTCTTTCCTGTACACTGACACCATCTAAGGCAGAACCCATATATTCTTTCACTTGCTAAAGTCCAGTTTGAAACTCCAACTTTATGCCATTTAATTTCCATCCCCTCCTTTCTCTACAAGTCAGACTCAACCCAATGACTGCAGAGTGGGGGTGAGAGTTAAATCTGCTAAATTTTCCTTCACCACCTCCTATTTAAACATCATAAATGTTACAGTTTAAATTTTAAATGCCCCCCAAATGCTCATACTAAATTTTTTGTCCTCTGCCTATGGCACTATTAGAAGGTCAGACCTAGGGGAAGGAAGTTAGGTCACTGGAGACATGCCTTTGAAGGGAATTTTTTCTTGCCTCTTCCTCTCTCTTTGCTTCCTAACTACAAGGATCTTCTGTACCATGTCTCCTGCCATGATATACTGTGCTACCCCAAGTCCAAAGCAAAGGGGCCAGGCACCCATGGACTGAAACCTCTGAAATCATGAGCCAAAATAAATCTTTCCTTTTAAAGTCCCCCCTAGAATCTATCATCACAGTGACAGAAACCTGACTAAGACAATGAGATACTACAGGACATAAAAATGCCTTTCTCTTCTCAAGGACCAGCTCCTCAGTGGTGGAAATTGAGTGGGGAAATCAGAGAAACTACTTTCTGTTAGGGCCCTCTCTTGGTAGACTGTGTTGGTCCTCAAATTAACACTGGCTGCTGACTCCCTTCATGTTGCTGGTACCTACATGTTGGCTATCTTATGAAGTTCAAATATGAATTTTTTGTGATATAAAGCGTAGCCACTTGGAGAAGCCATCCCTCTGTATAGGACCATCAATTGGAGGTCTGGCTTCAGATCTTTTCCTGTCTTACTATTAGTTTTCCTGATCATATCTCCTGGCTAAGGTATTTGCAAGACCAGCTACTCAAGGTACCTAATTGTCCTTTTCACAGAAAACAAAAAGTTTCACC